CACACTGACCTGGTCACAGTGACTAACATGAAGGACATGAAGAGACTCATCAACATCTCAGCTGGAGATCAGAGTGAAGCTTGGATTGGTCTGTATGATCAAACACATGGTAACAGAACTTGGCGCTGGTCTCTGCCTGAAGTGGAGTTTAATGAAAGTGAGACAAACTGGAACGATGGAGAACCAAATGATGCACGAAGTCAAGTGATATATGAGAACTGTGTGATTGTGAATACAAATCTCAAATGGATAGACGTCCAGTGCCAAAGTTCACGTCGTTTCCTCTGCTATAATGGTGAGAATATTAATCTATTTATGAATTATTTTTATATGCGTTTTGTCCAAAACAAGATAAATATAAATATGTTTGATTTCTTCACAGAAACTAATACAACCCATAAATATCACTTAATTAAAGAGGAGAAGTCCTGGCAGGAAGCTCAGAGTTACTGCAGAGAAAAACACACAGACCTGATCAGTGGAATGAAGCAGCTACAGGATGAAGAAGTGAAGAAATTGTTGAACTCTAATTATCAACCATACATTGGTCTGTTCAGAGACACCTGGAGGTGGTCAGATGGAAGCAGTTTCTCTTTCAGACACTGGAATCCAATATTTAACAATCACAATCCCAACAGTGGTCAATGTGCCATGACTAAGTTTGATGGTGAAGGAAGATGGACAAATGTGAACTGTGATGATAAAAAACCCTTCATCTGTTATGATGGTGAGTCGTTAGTTCAAACATTATACATTTATTTAAAAATTATAGCAGTGAATATTTTTGTAATTTATGTTTTAAGTTTTAATTCATACATTTCACAGACAATATCATTGCTTCAGACTAAAACCTCAATGTTTTGTCAGTATGAGAGGCGCATAGTACATTCACATTTACATTATAAACTTTTTTGGGGAAAAGTACCTTTAGTAGTAGTTGTAAACCCCAATATATTCTACTTTTACTTGAGCTATATTATTATGAAATAATGTTATTCTCTATAGAGTAACACTTGTAGATATTCATTGAATAAAGGACAAATATATTTGAAGCAAAAACGCTCTGGACCCAGAACCAAACCTGCAATTCCTTGTTCCTCTTAGATACAGAGTTGGGAAACATGCAGAGCAGCAGCTGCTCCCTCTAGTGTCAGTGCAGCTGCCAACTTCCCTCTGCATGCTGGGATACAGAGAGTTTGTTCAGAGAACATGAAGGTTTCTCTTGTCTATTTTCTTCACTTTTTCTGTCATGATTTTTAGTGTTTTCCTCCAACACAAACTCGATTGTTCTCATGTTATTTTTGACCTGCTGAGCCATTTGGAGGTCAAGTGAAAATACATTTAACACTGGAAGGACTTTACCTATTTATAACATGTTGTAATATGTTATAAATAGGTAAAGTCCTTACAGTGTTAACTGTATTTTGTATATTGTACTGTATTTTCACTTGACCTCCAAATGGCTCAGTGTTTCTTACTGTTTAGTATGAGTTTATATGTTGAGGAAAATTTATTTAGAAATGTTTCTTCTGCCTAAATGTTTTATTTTAAATTTATTTTGTACATTTGGATTATTTCAATTATGTTTGTCTTCAAAATATGACAATTTGCACACACCTTTATATTTTTGCTAGTATCATGACGTCATCTTGAAATGATAAATCAGATGTTATGATCAGTTACTCAGTACTAAAGTATCCTTTTCATCAAATCTTTACTCTTGAGTCATTTCTTAGGCAACTACTTTTTATTTTACTTGAAAATAATTCATGTGAAGTAGTGCTGCTCCTACTGGAGGACATTTTTTATTTCCTCTACCACCTCTGGTCTAGGACCAAAGACATAACTGTTCTTGTCAAATTAGTTCTTTATTATAATTTTGTAATATTTGTGTCGATCAATTCTGTGACAGATAAATTGATCCTGATCAAAGAGGCGATGAACTGGGAGGACGCCTTGACCTACTGCAGAGGTCACCACTATAACCTGGTCACCATCACCAACGTGGATGATCAGAAACAGATCCAGGAGAAAGTCAAGGAGGCATCGACTGATTATGTCTGGATGGGTCTGCGTTACGCCTGCACTCTGGATTTGTGGTTCTGGGTCAGTGACGAGATGGTCAGCGATGAGAACTGGGCCAAAGGTGAACCGATGGACGACTGTGACATGTCAGGAGCCATGGAGACGGGAGGAGAACATCAGTGGAAAAAGAAAAATGATACTGAGAAGTTTAATTTCATCTGTTCTAAGAATTAAATCTGAATCTGTCCCCTGTGAGAAACTATTTCCTCTGATTTCATCGTTGCAAATTTAATGAACTGTTGTGCATTATGTGAAAGAATTACCAGGACATTTTAAACACTTATGATTAACTAAGTTACCTTGGAGTGAGTTTGCTTTACTTTTTCAGTTTTCTTTATCAAATGTTGAAGGAACATTCAAACAAACTAGAGCCGCTATGGTCTAGTTTACATTTAGCTCCTAATTTTACTGCAATCTTTTGTTGTTTTTTCTTTTGTCACTGATTAATTTGGAAATAAAATAAATAATTATTGTCTTCTTTTAACATTTTTCACATTTAAAGATCTATTCATTCACTCTCTCTATCAAAAGCCTCTGCTGGGCTTTAAAAGGAGCGTTGATGGTATTAAATTAGAAATGTGGCATTTCCTGCTTCCTGGAATCAAACTGAGACCGTAGTGAACAAAACCTCAATGTTTGGACTAAACAAGGAAATGAGATTCCTTTCAAATCAGACATGCTAGGATACAGAGAGTTTGTTCAGAGAACATGAAGGTTTCTCTTGTCTATTTTCTTCATTTTGTCATGATTTTTAGTGTTTTCCTCCATCACAGTTGCTGGTCTTCCCCCAGTGGGTGTGGCCTGTTCTGATTGGTTTTCTCCACATGAATCAGGAAGTTAAGCCTCTTCATCTCATCACTGGAGAAGCTTCATCAGTTAAACAACAAAATATTGCTCCAGTGTTTATTTCCTAGTCCTGACAGTGAAATATCTCCATACCTTTACACCCTGATGGAGTTTTATGTTATATGTTTTTATTTGCATGTGCAGTCAGAGGGAAGTTGGCAGCTGTACCGACACTAGAGGGAGCAGCTGCTGCTCTGCATGTTCCCTCACTGCTCTGTTTCCTAACCCAGGTCCTGGAGACTCACTGCCCTGCAGGCTTTAGCTGTTTCCACACTTCAGTCCAGCTGATTTCAGCTGATGGCTGATTAACAGTCATTTCCTGAATCAGGTGTATTGAAAGATAAATGGTAAAAGCAACGAGAGAAAGATAGAAATAAAAGGACTTTGGTTTTCTAAAATCTGAAAGAAGACGAGAGAAATGAGAAAGACAACAATTAAATGGATTTAAAGATAAATCAGATTTAGTTGATTTGTTTAGAAACAATTTGAAAAGTAAAATTTATCAGATATTTTGTTATCTTAAATTCACACAGTTATTCAATAGAATTTAATTCTTGAGTGACATTCTGCACAATCCATCCCACTCAGTGGTGATGATGCACCGATTTAGTTGTTTGCCAACAGCCAAAAAACCATAGAAGAAGAAGAGTCACACGTATTAATGCAGGAAAACAGCTAAAACATGCAGGGCAGTGTTGCCTTGCAGACCAGGGTTGGGAAACAAGAACTTAGTCTAACGAGACACTTGTGTAGGACAACATCAGGTCTTTGTTTTCAGGGGTTTTTGCACAGGCAGCTTAAGCAAACAGCTTAGTGTGTCTTCTTTTATTTTTTTTAAATGTTAGTTTAGCCATAGAGAGCAGAATGAATCTGTACAGTTAAGTGAGTTTATTTTCAGGTGCTTAAAGGACCTGTGGATGGAGAGACAGGGTGGGTTATTAGCAGGGTGGGCTGTCCAGGAAGACGTGTGTCTTTTTCATTGACGTGTTTATCACCAGATTCGGAGGGGAAGCCGAGGTTTCCGGTTGAGCTCAGAGTTACTGCAGAGAGAATCACACAGACCTGATCAGTGGAACGAAGCAGCTACAGGATGAAGAAGTGAAGAAGTTGATGGACTCTACAAGTGATTCCTCATACATTGGTCTGTTCAGAGACACCTGGAGGTGGTCAGATGGAAGCAGTTTCTCCTTCAGACACTGGAATAAAAACTTTAACGATCAGATAATCAACAGTGGTCAATGTGCAATGACTAAGTTTGATAGTGAAGGCAGATGGACGAATGTGAACTGTGATAATAAAAAACCCTTCATCTGTTATGATGGTGAGTTTTTAGTTCAAATATAAGTTTATTTAAAAATTATTACAGTGAATAGTTTTCTAATTCATGTTTTAAGTTTTAATTCTTGCATGTCACAGATAATGTCATTGCATC